ATATAGTAAAAAGACATGATTGATATAAATGTTCATTTTTTTGTAGGTATTTAAGCTTTTTTAGATCCATTTTCATTTTGCTTTTAACTTATTTGATAATTATGTAATGAATAACATGGCTCCTTGGCAGATTTTTATTTAATGATAGAAAAGTGTCAAAGAGTTGGGGTTTTTTTCAATATGAAGAGTTCATTCGTAGAAACAGATAAGTTTATTTTTATAATTTATCAAAAAAACATACTTTTTATTAGCAGCAACATGCAAACAGTAAATTACATGCCTCAGCTCATTTTTTACAAGAATGGCGTTTATCTGTTTTTCCAAAGGAATTCTTCATATGTGTTCAAAAAAAAAGGAAATAGTACTAGCAGGAAACATGCATGGGCCAGCATGCAACTTAACATATTAAAAATAAGGGTTGTAATGCAATCATCTTTTTTTATAGCCTTTAATTGAGAGTGATCTCTATTTTTCTTAGGACCTCGACTCTGGAAATTGAAAATAACTTAAAATGAAAAAGATGTAAGAAGCTTGCATTCTTAAAAAAAAAGAAATATTGACCGTTAAAGTCATACATTTGGAGTTGTAGCCCACAATATTTGTAAAATATATATTTTAGCCTTTACAAAATCCCTCAATGACAGTGAAAGGACTTTTGTTCTCATGCTATAACTGTTTATTTTGATTGTTTCCGTTTTGATTCCCAAAAGTCAATTTTGAGGGATAGTGGATCAGCCTTGTTTTCAGCCAGCTGGCTAACAGTGTGCATCAGTAGATGAGGGACCAGGTCTGCTTATCTAAGCTAAATACAATCAAACAAAGCTACACTCACTCTGGCATATTCTCTAATCTCTCTTTAAAAGAGAATATAGACATCAGGCTCTTTATGATTTTATATTAGGTATGGTTAAAGCACATCTATTAAAAAGCACACAAAGCTCAGTTTATTTATTTTTTTTATATTTTCCAAATCTTTATAAGATAAAATCTAGCTTGTAATGAGGTAATCTTAGTTCATCACTCAGCCAGTGCAGAAGCTTGGATTGCCGGCCTCTTGCTTTACACTTTTTTTTTTTTACCAAAGTTGTTTTAAAGCAGTGTTACCTTTAGCAGGTGAAACTGTGTTAGTAGAAAGCATGACTTTTAAAGGACAAGTCTGGTCATATTCAGAATTAAAACTTCTGAAAGTTCTTTAAATATGACATTATTACATGCTGTTCAATAAATGATAAGTGTTTTAATTAAGAGTAATTTTCATTTGAATGTGCTTTACTGGAGACATCCATGTTCGTCAAAGAACTCTACTGCAACCAACCGGTTTGTGACGTCATGGTGCAGTATCGGCTTTTGATCAAGTCCCAGTGCTGTATCTGGTGTTTGTCACTACACACTATTATCCAAGTCATCTTTAAAACATTTTTCTTCAAAATGTTGGCTACATATTAAGTGTTTTTTCTCTGGCCAGAAGTTCGATGGCAAATCCTTCCTCTTCAATCTGGCAATCCAATGACAAACCCGTGCAGGATCATTTGTCATTGGTAATACATTTTTTTTCACTTTTTTTGTCACTTTTACCGGATGTATTACAACATCCAACTGACATGCACTTGGGCAGTTTAACGAACTTCAATGGTGAAGTCGTCTGGAAATCTTAAATAATTGTTGTTGATTGCAGATGTGTCTAGTAGTTCCCATTGATTTTGCTTGTAAAGCGGTGAGAATAGCCCTAAGCTTACCGCACAGTGACATCACTGCCGGAAGATGTCAGGAGTGAGGTGTTACTATATTTGGGCAAAAATGGCCAGTCCCTGACCAAAAATTGTTTTGATTTTTTTACTGATCAATGCTAAATCATTGAATCACCGCTTACGTATTAGTTTTAGGTATAGATAATGATCATTTGATTATTCCTTGCTGACTGGACTTTTACCTTTAAAAATATTATTATCTCAATAAACCAGCAGGAACCTTTTAGATGGTTTTCCAGAACAGTAATAATTCAGAACAGCATTTATTATAGTAAATGCTGCTACAGATTTTAAAGGGAACTCATCTCCATGAATATGAGACAGTCTTAAACTGGGAAGGACATTAGCAAACACAGTAATAATCTTCTGACTGGTTCTTAATCATATGTTCCATTAGGCTGATTCTGAATGGCAGTGTTTGAGGATGTAAACAGCGTGCCGGAGCAGAAAGTGGCACCTACAGAGAGAAAGATGGTGATTACAGTAATCAAGACGTTTTCACCAAGGAAAGCAGAAGACAGAAATGAGGGGAAAAAAAAGATGAACTGTCACACTCCAACCCAGACAAGTGAAGAGAAGATATTATAATATTTGATAATGTACAATTTCTGGAGTTGGCAAATGCATAATTTCATAGCCTTTCAAAATACCATGGTGGAAGAGGGCACTCTTTAGTTTGTAATATGCACTGAGCTGAGGACTGATTTTCTTCTTTCTTAAACATCATTTTACTACAAAAAAAGAACTGCCCTATCAAATATGTTTTAAATTTAATTTAAAAAGAAAAAGTATTTTGACTTGGTTTTGTAACCCCCCACCCCACCCCCCAACCTCTGCATCACTTACATGGACTCCCACTACTCTCCACTATTACCATGCATCCCCATTCCCCCCAGTAGTTATGGGTCGGTACCAGCATTGGTAATTGATCCCTCTGGGCTCTGCAGATGGATCCAGCTGAGCGCTGAATAGGCGCACAGCTAAGAAGACAGCTGCTCGGCCGGCCTATACAAACTGATAGAAAGAGAAGGAAAACACTGTTGCTTCTAACCGTTAGCTCTGTCTCCAAGCCTCCTTCTGCAGTGAGCAAACTCAGCACTTTGCTTTTTCTCAAAAGATCCAAGTTTGAAGTTTAAAGGAAGGGAAGTAAGAGAAGGGGAACATGGTAAAGTCTGCCTTTTAAATTTCTTATCAACAAACTAAGAGCTTAAACTCAAAGCTTCTTCTGGGCAGTTAGTGGAAATGTCCATTCATGTATTTCAGCCAAGTTTCTACATTGCTTTGCTTTGCTGCTTTCGCAATATAAAATCAAAGAAAGTAACTTTATGAGTCTTAATACATAGCCTCAAGTACTTCTTTTTTGAGTCTTCTATTTGTTTAAAAAAATACAGTAAATTAATATATGTTGACAAAATTTAATTTAGAGTAAAGAGTTCAAACATTAGTTGAAAGACTATCTGAAATTAATATTATCATTATGGATCAGGGTGTCCAGCTGCATTTTTGATTATATCCCATGTAAAAACTTAAACCACATTTTCTGTTCAACCTCTCTCTAAAACACAACAGCTTTCTAATTAGACTTATTGGCTGGTTTAACAGAGGAAAGTAACTTTTATTTTAATTGTGCAAGGGGTTGCAGAGAGTGAATGAGTCCTTGCATTCAACTGGGTTTCCTAAGATATTTTTGAAGAATATGTTTATGTTGCATATATAAAAATAAATTGAATACTTTCCAATTGAAGCTTTGCTCTGTGTGAATTGGTTTGGGAGTTGAGTGTAAAAATAAGATGATCCCTTCCTTTGTTTAATAACTGGGAATATTCAGTGAAAAGGTCGACATGGCTTTCACCTGACAGCAACTCTGAAGTGTTTTTACCCATATTGTTAATTAGTCTCTTAACAAGCAGGTATCTATCTATCTATCTGGCTGTGTCCAGATAGATAGATATGCATGATCCTGTTATGTAGATAAATTAAACAACGATTAAAAATATACTTCATACCTAGACCTTCCTTCCATCATTTGTTCTTTCTTTCCTTCGCTTGTTCTTCATACGTTCCTTTGTTCCTTCCTTTGTTCCTTTATTCTTTCCTACCTTCATTTGTTCCCTCCTTTCTTCCATTGTCCTTCCGCTCGTCCCTTCCTTTGTTCCTTAATTCCTTCTTTCATTCCTTTAATCTCTCACTCCTTCCTTCCTTTTTTCGTTCCTTCCTTCCTTCCTTAAATTTTGACTAAAATTGTTCCAAGAAGGGTAGAAAATTCATGTTTAATAATTTTCCTTGTTATAACAATGATTTTGACAATACATTTCATACCACTGGAAAGCCTTTTAGTTTTCTTTAAATTTGGCATACTATATTTGTAACCCAAATGTATTAACAAAAGTAAAGTATGTGGATTGCACCCATTGAGAATTTCACAGGTCATCCTTAGCAGTGTTTTCTCTCATTGACTTTTGTTTAGTGTCGTTTATTAAAACACTGAAGCAGGGTTAAAATGGGTTAAAAGATTAATGGTCTACTCCTTTAATAAACAGGGGCTTTAGTAATAATACTGACCATCTTTTTGTAACCTCCTTCTAATGCTGGTCCCAAACTTGGCCATACTTTTTTGTGGATTAGCATCCGATCGTGGTTGTATTCTTAGAGGCAGAGGTCAAGACTTCAGGCATCTTGTCATTTCGAAAATTATCCGATAAACCCGATGGACATAGTTGACTTTTTTATATTAACACTACCTATTACAGGAAAAATGGGCATTACTTCCTTTTGAGTGCTGAATATTGATATTTTTAATATGACAAATAAAAATATTAAATATTATATTTCTACATATATTCTATTTTCTACTTTGGTCAGACACCTTTGCTAACTCGATCGGTTAAACTAAAAAAGAAGCTTTTTAAAGCTAACTAAAATAGCTTTTGTAAGATGAATGAAACACTTTTTTTTTTTAAAGAAGAGCATTACTGTGCTAGTATTTATAGCTCAAGAGCTCTGCTAGTAATGTAAAATTTATAGCAAAACACAACACTATTTACTGTTATTTTTACATCTTTTCCCTATACTTGCACTGTTTGTTTAATCTAACTGCCTTACAGCAACACATCCAATAACAGCTAAAAAATGCATTTAACCCCCTAAATCCCTCTTTAAAATTTGGTAGTGGTGGTGTTAGTTGGGATGAGACTGTCTACGTTTTTGGACTTGATAACCATCGCCCCTTCCCCTCTTCCTCTTTTCCTTCAGGCTCTATGACGCGACAAGAGTTCCCCACGACATTCTTGCACTATGGAGAGCTTTGACGACCCCTTGACAGACAGCCAAAACCCACCAACCAACACCACCACCACCAACACAACAGCAGATCTACCTTTACCTTGGTGCCACAAAGGCAGGACAAGCAATCGGAGAGCACCAAGGGCCTCTTTGAGGCAGCAAGGTACATTACATACCCTGTTAATTGGGATCTTTTTTCTAAATCAAAACATCTTTAAAAAGAAATCATTGACCAGATGCTATTATTTAATTGCAATTGCCCAAATTCTGAGGTAAAATGGTATTTTTTTTTTCCTTTTTCTTGATAAATATCTAACATGTGAGGTTTAAATTGTCCTCACCAGAGTCTAGGCCAGATTTGAGTCTAGGCTCTCTCAGTTTGTGAGGACGAATGGTAATAGTACTCAATTAGGTATTAAAAGCTTGGAAAACGGTCCTAAAACTAAACAGTGCTTTAAATATCTGCCTATCTTTACCCCAGACCTTTCTTGGTCATTGTTTGCTCTTTATAATGCGTTTTTGATTGAGCAGACTAGATAAACTCTAAAAGGATTGCATAAGACTTTTCTTGGAATTATCTGAGCAAAATGGGGCTCAATACAAATTCAGAAACATTTTATTAGAATTTGAAATGTAAAAATGCATTTTAAAACTTACACTGCAAAAAAATGTAAA